ATTAACTAGAGTAATAACATGATTATTTGTTTTATTTCCATACTTGTGCTTCCTTTTGAATTTTTAATTTAAAACATAAATACTAATTTAAATATTTAGTAAATTCTTTATATTTTCCAATAATAATGATATTTATACCTTTCTCTAATAATTTAGATTGTCTAGTGACAGCATATTGAGGCCCTAAAACAATTTGCGATATTAATGAATGTATAAATTTTATTTTTGTTTAAAGTGTAGTTTATAGACATAATTATTTAATATGCCTTCATTTATTGATAAGAATCCATTCTTTAAATGACAAATAAAATTAATAAATACAACTTAACTCTTAGATTGAGCTTGCAGTATCGTTTTAACAGCTTTTCAACCGATGAGAAAGAATATACAAAAAATGTATAGTGAACGACTTATTTTTAAATGATATTAATAATAAATCTTACACTGTATAATGTACCACTATACATTATTAAAAAATAGCGAATACAAACTAAATAAAAAAAAGGTAATGTATATTAATGTCACAATACACCTTTCTCTACTGGCACATAAACTAACATTATCGTTTGTTCATGTACCCTGCAAACACTCTTACCGCCAATAGTAAACAGGTCTAAACACCTTAGGTAACAAATCTACAAATTAACTGCCATTGTAATTGTACATAAATCTTCCACAGAAGTAAATTATAAATCAGAACATGGTATAATAGTGAATTTAGTAAGATAGTTTTATTTCAGAGCTATAAAAGCATAAAAAGGAAGCAAGTTAGGATTTTATTTCAAAAGAAAAAGTTATTTATCAGTATTTGGATTGGCGGCTACTGAGAATACTTTACACAATTTGGTACCTCTAAAAAAATAAGATATGCATATTATTTGTGTTAAATATGCATTTATTTGAACAAAATATGCACTATAATCATATGTGTATTGTCAATTGTCAATATTCAATATACAGGGTGTCCTTTAAAATGTGTCCCAAAATTCTCAGGCAGATTCCTTAACCAAAAAATGGAAAAAAAGTTCCTATAGACCTATGTCCTAAAGTGCCCCCTAAGCGAGCAACAGCCTCTCGAAATCATTTTTTTTATTTTGATTTTTTGAATTTTCTTAAAAATGGAAACAAATAAAAGAACAAAATTTTGGCTGTTAAATATGATCAATAATAGTGACCTTTTGACACCTTCAAAAAGAAATTATTTCGTCAGGGGTGTACTTGGGAATTTTTTGAAAATTTTGATTATTCATAACTTTTTTGTGTTTTTGGTAATGACTTATCCATTGAAAACTACGTCAAAAAGGAATACTTGTTTGATCTCGATTGGAGCAGCCGTTTCCGAGAAAACATCATCCAAAGATATTCGTCCACTTTCGCTTAATTTTCAATTTTCCTAAATTACCTCGGTGAATCTCGTAAATAAAAATAACGTTTTTAGCTCTCTCTAAATAATTGTAGTTCAAATGTCGTGGTGGGACTATTTTTATTTAATAATAAGAAACGGTTTAAAAAAATATTTATTCTAAAAAAACAAATCAAAAAAAATTAAAGCAGATGCTCAATGTGGCGACCATTGGTTTCCACACACAAGCGCAACCGTCGCATCATAGACTGTCTTACACGAAAAAATACTTCAGGATTATTCCTAAGAACTTCGCAATGATGAAAAACTCGTTCTTCCAATTCTTCAACTGTTTCAACAGGACTGGAATAAACCAATGATTTTAAATAACCCCAAACAAAAAAATCCATTGGATTTAGATCTGGTGAACGAGGTGGCCAGTTAACAGGACAACCTCTGCCAATTACTCTACCCTCAAATCTTTCGTTAAGGTGCTGTCTAGCTTCAAGGCTGTAATGTGGTGGAGCTCCATCATGCATAAACCACATGTTATGTCTGATTTGAATCGGAATATTATCAAGAAGCTCATGTAAGTTATTTTCCAAAAAAAGCCTGTATGCTGCTCCATTTAACCTATTCGGCAAAACAAATGGTCCAATAAGGTAATTATCAATAACTCCAGCCCAGACGTTTATTGAAAATTTATCCTGGTGGTGACGTTCAACAACCGCGTGAGGGTTATCTTCAGCCCATTCATGCATATTTCGAAAATTTATTATACCATCTCTAGTGAAACCAGCTTCATCGGTAAATAGCACTTTATTAAGAAACATTGCATCTTGATTACATCTTCCAAGAAACCATTCAGAAAAGATAACTCGCGGCTCATAATCAGTAGCTTTAAGTGCCTGAACTTTTTGAATGTGGTAAGGGTACAATTGTTCACGCAAAACTTTCCATACCGTGTTACGTCCGACTCCCACTTCTGAAATTAAATGAGAGAATCTGTGTAGTGAATAGTTAAGAAAGAGAATCCATTGATTTGGGAAATCAGATTTTTTCTGCATAACGCAACTCTTTTCGATACGAAAAGTCGTGAAATGTAAGAGAAGCAATAACAAGTAAAAAAACTAGTTTTATACGATAAGGTACGGGGTAGCTAAAATAATAAATAAGTAATTACTTACCATTTGCTATTTTTCTGGTACTTGTCGATGGGGTTTCAGCTACCCTATCCAAAATTGCTTCTTCCAAAGCAGGAGTTCTCACATAATTTTGTCTTCCACTGTTACTAGAGTTTTTCTTAAATGTACCAGTTTCCCGAAGTCTATCGTCAATTCTAGAAAACGTCTTAGCGCATGGAAGATGCCTATTTGGAAAGCGCTCCTGATAAAGTCTGCGAGCTTCATTGGCATTTCCAGAAGCGAGTCCAAAACATAAGTGCATGTCCGTCATTTCGCCGAATGTGTAATCATTATTGTAGTTATTGTGAGCCATTTTAAACAAAATAATAATAACAATACAACGAATCGCACCAGAACACTTTTAGAAATAATGTTTAACTGAAGAAACATTTTTATCAGTGAGCGAAAAAAATTATCCATGAAACATAAAAACGCCAAAAAAATACATATTTTTACTTTTTTATTCTAAACAGCTAAATACAAACCTTATGGTCTTCATAATAAATAAATGGGAACTAAATTTTAAAATTTTATTTAGAGAGCTAAAAATAGTATACAGGGTGATTGATTAGTGTGAGGAAGCTCTGTAGATCTGTTATAATAAAAGTAGGCAGCTTTAAGCTTCACATTTTAAAATTAGTTACGATGTGACAGGGTGTTTCATAAGGCCGTGCCAAATCAAAGTTATGTTTTTTAAATGGAACACGCTGTATATTTTTATATTTTTAGAATCTGCTCGATAATCTGATTTCAATGATATATCACACTTGTTATCTAATATGAATAGTAAAGGATCTACAGCTACTCAAAAATCACATTTTTTCAAATTCAGGTGGCTGTTGTAGCCAAACAGTTGGAAATCGAGGAAAACGGCTTACAGTCCCTATCCTAACTTTTTAAGGTCTATTCAGTGACATAAAATACATATTATTTGATACAGGGTGATCAAAAATCCAAAATCACATCCGATTTTTGATCACCCTGTATCAACTAATATTTTTTGCCACTGAATAGACCTTCAAAAGTAAGGATAGGGACATGTAAGCCGTGTTCCTCGATTTCCAACTTTTTGGCTACAACAGCCAAAATTGAAAATTAACCTAAACTGCACGAATATCTTTGGATGATGTTTTCTCGGAAACGGCTGCTCCAATCGAGATCAAACAAGTATTCCTTTTTGACGTAGTTTTCAATGTAGAATGTAAAAAAAAATATGGATAAGTCATTACCAAAAACACAAAAAAGTTATGAATAATCAAAATTTTCAAAAAATTCCCAAGTACACCCCTGACGAAACAATTTCTTTTTGAAGGTGTCAAAAGGTCACTATTATTGATCATATTTAACAGCCAAAATTTGGTTCTTTTATTTGTTTCCATTTTTAAGAAAATTCAAAAAATCAAAATAAAAAAAATGATTTCGAGAGGCTGTTGCTCGCTTAGGGGGCACTTTAGGACATAGGTCTATAGGAACTTTTTTTCCATTTTTTGGTTAAGGAATCTGCCTGAGAATTTTGGGACACATTTTAAAGGACACCATGTATATTAAATACAGAAGCCAAATACGTCATTTGATAGAAAAGAAGAGATTTAAGATTTAACTTAAAAGTTGAACTTATTGAATTTTTAAGCATAAATATTAATATATCATTAATAATCATAAATCGAGTATATGCCCCCATTATATTGTGAATATTCAACTTAGTCCTTAATCACAATACTAATGCAAATACTAATAATAAGGGAGTATAAATACACCTTAACTTTATTAAATTATCTATACATATTTATTTATTTATTTATTTATAAAAACAATATGTGATGATGCCTGTTATGTGAAGCTACCTTTATATAGTAAGTTGGTAACTACTGCTAAGTTGGCAACAACTGTCACTGGTCACAGTGTCATTAGTGACGTATGCAACAGTTGAAGCAGATGTACTACCGCCGTTATCTTGTATAGTCGATGTTTAATAATTAAACCATTTTTTATAGAACTTGTTCGTTTAATATATATTTACCACGTACCAAACGTAACAGTTGCATAGTAACGTTTTCCATATTTGGCTATTAATTAATTCTCTGTTGTACCTTCTCAATATTTATAAACATCGATGTTATCTTCCCATTCTGTTCGATTTGATCATATTTCATGGATGTCACTGTAAAAACCTTACGTCTTAATAAAATTACGTTTTATAACCCATTTTACGGAGCATAAAATATCGCAATTCAGTTCGTAAAACTTTTTATCTGCGTATTATTCGCCCAGGAACATTCCGAATTACCGGTTAACAGGAATGAGGTCGATTCGAAAACGTTTTCAGTTTCAAGGGGAACAGTGGAAGTGTCGTAATTGATTGTGTAAACCGACGAACCATTTCAACCATAAAAGGCTCATGGAAATCGGTAGACATTAATGCGTTTTCTGATAGTCGATAAAATGTCAATTGAAGATTAATATTTGGAATGCTTTTAGTAATATTTTTTCGGGTTTATATAAACCTGCGTTTGTTTGAAGTTAGTAAACTTGTTCCTAGCAAACATGTCCTGTATTTATGTACATATAAAAAATTTAGCTCAATAAATAATTTGGGCTTGTCAGTTAGACAAGCTAAATCAAGCTAAATGAGCAAGGACCAGAAAAAATGCACCAAAAAATGTAAAAAAATGCGCATTTTAATGCAATTGATTTGCGAAAAATTTGCAAAAGTATTTACGAAAAATGCAATGTAAAAATACAACATTAATAATAATAATTAATAATCCTGACACTGAATTAATAATTTGACTGACTTGCGTAGCTCCCATGTGACTCTTGTATATAGCACACGTCTTACATTTTTGTTTAAATAATCCAGTGTCATAACTGGATCTGTGACGATTAGATATAGTGGTCTTTCTTTGGTTTTCATGGGAAATATGTCTCTAGCCACTATTTCCTGCTCCTCTTCAAGATTTTCTCTGATATATTCAACTTTTATATCCTCAGCAAAGTTCCTTAGCACGAAGACGTGAAATTTGTCTTCCCTTGCTGTATAAGTATGAAATGGCATTTTCCCACTTTTAATATTGTTTAGTATCTTTTCATGATCGGCCTTATTTTCTACGAAAATTATTGTCGTATAGTTTGTATGTTTTACTGGGAATTCACCTGTTGTAATAGCTTTTATGTCTCTTATAAGTTCTGTTTGATTCTTGGTTTTGCCATATATGACTATTGGTGGCATTGTAATTTTATTTCTATTGCCTGTCTTGCTTATTTGTGTCGATGATTTGGACGTTTGATTGGCATTGTTATTAATCTGTGTCGGTGTTGTATTTTTCGGTAGGTCATCTAGGTTGAGGGGTCTATAATAGTGTGCGCCCTTCTTGCGCTTCTTCACTATTTTGCCTCTCATCTTCTTCAAACGATTTATCAGTGAGGACTTCATATTGATTTTTGGTTGGTGTGAAAGTGTTTAGCGTCTTTTCTAGTACCAGTTTATGGAAATTTGAGAAAATTTCCTCGGCTTAACGAAGGCATCTTCACTTTTGTTATTCTGTGTCTGTATGTTTGTTTCCATTTTGTATCTAGCTCTATCCTCCTTTACAGTTCATCAAATTTCTAGAGGTGTTCGACGCCCAGACAGAGAACGCGCTACGTGTGACTAAGATAGCTATTGTACAGTCTGCTAAACAAGTTATTTTAAATAGTTTTTAATATTTTTAGGTAATTAAATTTTAAAAGTGTGGAATAGTTTAGGGATTAAATTGGTCTGATTGGACTTTCTTAGAACGTTTTTAAAAGCAGCTAAAGATAGTATGTAGAATTGAAAATAATTATTATGCCATAAAAGGTGTTTTGGAATTCCTTCAACCTTTTGAAATTGAGTCAGAAAATATAAATTTTATAGGATAGCGGAAAATACCTATAATTTTTTTGTAGGCCTTTGTAAATCGTGGAAATAGTTTATATTTTATTTCTACCTTATTAAGGAAAATGGTACCTATTATTAATAACGGTTGTTTCTGAAACATTACTAAAATTTTCGAAATTTTGTTTTTCTACAAAATAATAAACTATACTATTTAGAAAAAAATTTATTTCTCTTATAATTTTATAAAAAATAACAGGGGAATATTTACATTTCTTGATCTATTAAACAAAACGATAAATTATCTCGACGAATGACACCATGTTCTAGTACGGAAGCTAGCTTTACATTTTTGTTGGTGGTTTCATGGGTTTCATATCAATTTTTTGTAATTGTAGTTTACACGTACATATACCTCTTAACACTTGTTTGCTTTATTAAAAAAGTGTGTTGTTGTGATTTACGTCGAAATAAGTCAAAAACAACTTGAAACCCCATATAAAATCAAAAAGGAGAAACGGAAAAAAATTGAGCCTGTAAATGAACACAACTCAGAAACAAAAATAGCTATCTAATAATAAAAAAATAAAATTTGATTCTTGTGCAGCTTCATCTATATCATTAACTGTTTTTGGTTTTTTAATGGTTTTTCTTGGTGATGAAAATTCCGATATCTCACGGTTATCGATTCTTTTTTTCTCTCCAGAAATGCGGACGACAGTGTTTTTAGATACTCCTGTGGCTGCAGCAACACGATCATTTACATTTTTAAATGGTATTGAAGGTGAATTAAAGTTTCCTTCTCTTCTCATAAACTCTATAACATTGGCTATTATTTCGCGAGATTGACTGTTAATCACGCGGCCTCTTAATTTGCTATTAAACTCCATACTTAGGTTCTATTAAACTGTAATGAGCAAAAAACACAAACGAAAATAAAAGAAATGTTTTAGCGAAATTTACATCTGACATTTACGTCTGAATGAAATAGTGAAATACTTGATGCGCAGAGTGTACTTTCATTGCGTAAATCCGTCGGGATGCCTGTCAGTAGTGCTTTCTCTGTCTAGCCGTCGAAAGCCTCTAGAAATTTGATGAACTGTAACCTAAATTCAAACAGGCTATTTGGGGAGTGTGGTAGGTTATCGTACATGTCGTTTCGGAGTGTGGCTCCTCTATTCTCTTCTTAGGAGGTAATTTGATTAGAGTCATAGTGCATAATGCTTTTATTGACTTCCTGTGGTATATCACTCTTGTTTACTTCGACTCTGATTCTCGGATCACTGATTCTTATTCTGTGTTGTTTAGAGTCTATTTTTATGACAGGAGGTGTAGGTACATACCCTCGCGTGTGGCTACTTAGTTCACCACTCGGTAAGGCGTTGCCTACACTTCCAGCTATGTTTGCAGAATGTGATGCTCTATTCTGGCTTCAAGAGGCTAATTGAATGGGTATAAGTGCTCCCAGAGGCTAATTTAATGGGTATAAGTGGGGATTTACATGTAACTCATTTGTTTTAAAGTCAAGGAGTCTACCCATGATATTAAGAGAGAATGAAATAGTTTTGCCCAGCAATGAAGATGGGTCCGTTGCATATGCTGAGACAAATTTGTCAGGGGATTTTTTTCCAGGTTCCTTGAATGCTTTTTCTACTATTGTGGTGTCCATCTCACTGTCTTTGGAGTCGTCTGAATTTTCTAACACATTGATTAGTTCTTGTGTTGTAGATTGTATGTTTGTAGAATCTTTTGACCACTTTCAACAATGTATTGTCGTTCGGTTTGAGTTCTGATAGGGTGGTTTTCCATTTATCATTTCGGAAGTCTCTTATCATTTTATTAATGGTTTTTGCTATGTTGTATAACCTTACCCTATCATCACTTTGATATTGTTTTTATGGTTTATTAGGTCCGTAACCTCTATTAGCAATATGTCTTTATGTTGTTTTTGAGTTTTTAATGTGGTTGTCTCGTCTATAGCTTTTTGTATGATTTTAATAAATTAGTTTTATTTTATAGGGCTTCATTAATCTAATTATTGTTGTTTATGTATATGTTTTCGTTTAATTTCTTTCTGTATAATGCCCAATTAGTCGTTTTGTAGTCATAGTTTTGCCTATATTGTCTTTGTATTTTTTGTCTCGTCCAGATCTCCAAGTACACTGGATCGTGAATTGAGCCTAATGTACTTACAGTCCTCATGTTTCGTATGTCTGGGATGTTTTCTGCGACTGCTATGTTCAGTGTACTTTGGGTGTAAATTTGTTCATCTTTGTAGTGTACTATTAGACCGTTGTCTTTGGTGAAATCTCTCAGTAGCAGTCCACTGTGGTTGGTGAACACACAATTAGCGTCCCATTCCGGATTAAGGTTCCCTGCAAGAAGCACCCTATTTCCTTTTGACATCAGTATATGCAAGTCTCTACCTAATAAATTTTTACTTGGGGTGTGATATGCACCTATGATAGTGAGATTACTTACCTCTATGATTATGTGTTCAAGGTTGTTCGAGACATGCGCCCATCTTAATTGTTTGAAGTTTAAATCTTTTTTTATTGTGATAGCTACCTCTCTCACTCCTTGTCTTTGTTGTCTTACTGATTCTCTGTCCTGTCTGATAATTATGAAGTCGCGAATTTTTACTTTGCCTGTGGATTTTAAAAATGTTTCTGTTAATAATAAATATGATTATCTAAATGTTGTTTAATTTAAAAAAAAGTTGCTGTAACGTTTCCATAACCCTAATTTAACTTTTTGTGTTATGACATCATAGGAACTCCGAATGGTGAAAAACTAGAGATGATTAACTCTGTTAAGGAAATTATGGGTTTAGCCCAAAATTATAGTCTATTAAAGATAAGTAGAGTAAAATGGAAAAATATCCATTTTGTATTTAAAATCGATTGGCTTCAGAATTTTGGTTTAAAAGATTTTCAGCTGCTACAGATTTAGAATAAATCCACATGTATTTGACTAAAAGAAAAAAAAACAAAACGGCAAATAATTATTCGTTCAGTTTCACATCTTCAATCTCATTAACTAATTAAAATATAATTCCACAATTCGAGGTATAACTAAACTTGTATCTTAGACATCTGAAAATTTACCTCACATTCAGGATTCAACTATAAATCAAATTCTCTGTGTGTTTACGGTTCATGGCAGACTCCGATAATGTGTTAAATTCATTAAGCGCGCTATACGACCTTAACTGATATGTTATGCATGCTTTCAAAAGCGGTACAATCATTTTGAGAGGATATATTCACTCCGATAATGGAGGGTTTATAGTTAAATGAGCTTTAATTTATCAGCTACTGACGGTCGATATTCAGGATGTAAGATTGTGACGTTGGAATTAAGGAATCTAAAATTTATGATGTATTTTGAAGTATGAGTAAAATCTTAAATGTAATACAAGCAATGAAAATTGCATAGTGTGAATATATATATTGCAAATAGTAATAATAATTATTTTTCCAAAAGAAACAACAATAAGTATACAACAAAAATTTCAATACAATTGGGAAATAAACATTAATAATCACTGAAACTTCAAGGATGCTTGTGTGCGACGTTTAAAATACACATATAACTTAAAAAACTTTTAAAATGTTTAAAAAATTTAAAATATACAATTAAAACTATTTTTTTTTATGTAACACTATCATAAATTAAAATTGTACTTCGGTCCGATCCACTAGAACACATATTGTTAGATACATCCGGTATATCGAATTCGTCACCAGTTTTTATAGATGAGAAAAAAACTACCTTACTGATAAGACCCGTTTACACTCTCATTATACATTTTGGTGTACTCGAAGTTACCAGTGAATTTGAATAAATCCGGCAATAAACCGGCAAAATAGTAGAGAAGTGCTAAAGAAAAAACTTGAAAAATTAAATAGGTTTTTAGAAGATGTATCATCAAGTAAGTTTGGTATAAATTAAAAAATTAGTGATAATTAAATAATACTAAAAGAGTAATAATAATAATAGATTAACAAATAAACGCACTGTGGCCTTTCTCGTCGACAGATGTGTACTTTACAAATTTTTAGTTTACAACAAAGATTTTAAGATCGTTCCGATGGTTTTACTCACCGTTAGAACCACAGAGGTTTTTTATTTGCCGCTTCTACGGTTCTTATTCATAAGTATCTACCAAAAAGTAGTTAAAAGATATTGCTAAATTCTCTGTAACTACTTTTTTTAATTAATATTTAAGTGAGATTTCTTTAATTTAATCAATCATCTATCTTATGTCTAGAACAAAAAAATAGTTTAAATAAATATGTATGGACCTTACTCGTCTCTTACTAATAATATTCTTTATTTAAATAAATTAAATATCTTATATAAGTAGCTATTAATTAAATAATTTAGCTAAAGAGTGGACATTAAAATAAGGATAAACTAACTATAAACACTCTGCGGCCTTTCTCGCTGACAGTCGTGTATTTTACATTTTTTTATTTTTCTGCGGTTTTTCTCACCGTCAGAAGTACCTGCACAAGTTATAACTTGTCAAATTCTTTATAAATGAGTTTTAATTATAAGAATATTCTTTATAT